GAGAAGGAAGGATAGCAGAAGCAAGAGTTCGGTTATTTTAAACTGTAGGACGGATAGTTACTAGTAGACTACTTCCAGTTTGGATATCTCTATATTCATAGGCGTACGAGGAAATTTTTGACTGGGGGGGGGGGGGGGCGGAGGTGGTTGGTGCCCAGAAAATGTAGTTAGGTTCTTAGTATGTTACATAATAATAATAAATTCGCTGTTAAATTGGACACATTCAAGAACACAAATTTTTTTTTTAATACAACTTTTACAAAGTACAATTGTGTGCCCAAATTTTCCCAGCATTTGGTGCCCAAAATGGGGGGGGGGGGCGACCCCCCAGCCTCCCCAGCTCGTACGCCTATGTCTATATTTTCATGCACAGTGGACATCATTGAGCAAAACGTTGCCACATGCTGCGTTCAACCCAAAGCAAATTTGGGATACACTTTAGAGTCGACCAAAGAGACCAGAACTAACATTAGAGTCAATGGGGAAATCACAGCTGTACTGTGGCCATTATAAAACAGGTCATTAAAATTCTGCACCAATAAACTTTGTGATTCCCAAATTGATTCAGATTTGCTATATATCAACTTACACTCAGGTCTGTAAGAGCTAATTGTAAAAACAACGTTGTAGCTAATCTTAATATATCTATTCTTTCTACAGTTCTTGGATGATTCTTTTGAAATTAAGAACTATTTATTGATTTAATTCCAATATTTCATTAAATGTGTTCACATTACTACACCCCTTTTCTTTAATGAGCCCCTACCCCCTCGAACACCCCATCTAGCTCAAACGCCTTATCCGTAATATATTTAAGATCTCTTCGCTCTTTTAATGCCAGTATTCATCAAAGTAGTTTACTACACCCTCCTTCTATAATGAACCCCATACAGGAACACCCAACCAGCCCAAACGCTTAATCTATCATACATTTTCTAACAGTAATACTTAAACATGGTATTACAGGTGTTATTGACAGGTGTTCACATGTTTATCTTTAAGCTGGTATTAAAATATCTGATAAATAAAAGATTTAGAGACCACTTTGATCTAATGAATATCATTATTTTAGCGTGGGAGATGATAAATATATACTATTGACGAAATAAATATTGTACACTTAGAGTTAAAATAGCCCGTTAGTATCACGTATGTAGACTATTTGCTGAGCTATTTATTATGCCTGATAATCGATGGAGTCGGATATGATAATATTAAATATGACCTGTTAATTATAAATGTGTCATCTTTAGATCTATTACTGTTGATATATTTAAATACTCTTAGATATGGGATTAATTAATATCTTCGTGCTATAAATACTTCATTTACTGGTTTTAGTGATAGGTATATAACGTTAACTGAAAACTTAATGTGGGCGTTATAGAGTCGGACTCCGTTTGTTGCTTGCTTATGACATATTTAGTATGACATATGTTATCTCTGGAGAAAATAAAATATGCAAATATGACGAATTGTTGGTGGGAACATGTTTCGTTTATTAATAGCGAATATTCATTTTTTTATCGGAAGACCTAAGACTGTTACATGAACAGCGCCTAGTTCGTATGGAATCAAAAAGTGTCCAAGAAATTAATAAACAAGAATCCGCGTTTTGTGAGATAATTTTATTGATAAAAATAACACATCTGACATCACTTGTATCTGTCTAAATATTTATCTACTTTTACTTTGGTCAATAATATCGTCAATATAAACAATCTGACATTCTTCTAATGAATCTCAAGTTTCACCAGCTCAACGTTACCAGATTGTTTGACCTCAGTTCAACTTCCGGTACAAATTTGGTTTCGCTGATAGTTGTTTCGTAGGTGTAGTACCTCATTATCCCGTTTGGTTCAGAACAATAGGAGTTAAACCCTATTTCATTTCAGAAGCCAACGTAATGTGATTATAATAAGAAGAGATAATAAACAGTAGCAGTTAGTCAACCAAAACGTAAAACAGCACAGATAATCCGAAATGTCAAAGTGAACGACAATGCCCTTTACAATGACTTTTGATCCACGATGTAACAAAATCAACCTTGATACCCTTGCACGCAAACTATTCTAAATGTTGATCTCTAAAAGGAATATTAGTTCAAAATGTTTAATATTTACAAAGATATGGTCCATTGTAAAACATGGGCGTCTTTCACAACTCCCGGAAGTGTTCGGTAAAATCTATTATTGTGCTTCGTTTTAGTGCATGCTTGGGATTCGGCCGTTGATATATATATATTTTTTTTATCTTAATTAAATCTTGTATAATCAATTTTAATACATTTTAGGGCGGATTAAGCCATGAAAATTAAATGTTTTGTTTTTTTTAAATGTCGGGATCGACGAATTTTTAAAATTACATTTGTAAACCTTCCAAATGACAGCTTTATCAAAAATAAACCGGTGACAAAATGTAATGGTTGTTTAGCCATGATAAAGCATACCCTGCCCCGTGGAAGACACCAGTTAGATAGTGTATTCTCACTATTCCCAGGGTGTCTTGTAATACAACGTTTGCGCAGTCAACTGCTTGGGTTATTTATTCCAAGGTTGCTTACCTTGTCTTTGTTGCACCGGGTGATTGTCTTGGATGATTTATCAAAAGGGTGATTTCAAAATAAGAAAATAATATAATGTTGAACGGTGAGTTTCAAAAATTGGATAGAAATTTATCAGATCGTGTGCGAATTTCACAGAATGGGATAGAGCGAGTTCCAAAGAATCAAATAGAAATTTATCAGATTTTGAGCGGGTTTCAAAAAATGGGATTAAAAAGAATTCAGATCATACAGCTGTATAGATCGGAGTAAACCACGGTCACACTACGAACTTTTAACTGAGAATCTGACACGCCACTGCAGTTCTTATTCGTGTGGTGTTCTTTTACTGCTGTTAACATATGCTGTTAATAAATTCAGATCGTATAGCTGTTATTTTAAATCAGAGTAAACCACGATCTGTGGTGCTGTTTTACTGCTGTTAACATATACAAGAGAAAATAACTACCAACAACCTGTTGAATTAAACATGATATTATATCAACAACTGTAGATATTTTAGTAGTTATGATAATATTTGGCTGTGTACCATACGTACAAACTAAACACATAATAACCATTAGTGCCAGGCATATAGTGCAGTAAAAAGCACAGGGCCAGTCCAGATAGCTAAGTAGTGCTAAGTGCTGTGTAAAAACATGGTGTATGGTTCATTTACTATGAATACATGCATAATGTCCCTCTCTATGATAAAATAAATAGAGAAGTATGGGTTAAATGGTTCGTCATTATTCTCATCTGGAAATCAGTGGGAACGACATTATGAAGATTCTTTTTTATATTCATTCCACTTGAAACATAAAATGAAGTGAACAGAGATCTGTATTTTCATCAGGTTAAACTATTGCATGTGTTAAGTTGTACAAATAATGTTGTCCGGCTAGCCTGGTGATCCTGTGTTCGATCTTGGTGTTGACCGTGAAAGTTCGTCAGTTTCCCCTTGCCAGTAGTGCAAGACCGGGGGGGCTGGCAATGGACAGTGCTTAGTGACCTGGATGGGACGAAAAACCGCAACCCCGTGTGCACATTGGCGTACACGTTAAAGAACCCTTGACAACGAGAGTGTGTCGTAGCGTCGCTCTCAGGGCACAAATATCCCCATAGCACATCGCATGACGTATGTCATGTCCTTCTTCATTAACCTGGATGGAGTAGAAAACTAGGGGGTTAGACCCCATTTCAATTCATTTTGTACAAGTGATTAACAATTAGACTATTTTAGTTTTCATCATCATTTTAGGCAAAGCAACCCTATCGCGTCTCTACAAATTTTACACCCTTAAAAGAGAGAGAGAAATGGGGATTAACGTCCACTTGACACAAACTACGTTTCGGGACTAACATATGGTTTAATTTTATTTCAATAATTCGCTAGGGGTCTTTAGCAGTGGGAAGAGACCGGAGGACCCGGAGAAAACTCCCGAGGTTGGACAGGCAACCCTACTCCTTGTCACGTACAACCGGGGATTCGAAACCACGCCAGGTGACTCAATGACAGGCTTTATTATACAGCGCGCAAGTGCTAACCATTCAGCCACCCAACCCCTCAACACCCTTAAAACTTATAGAAATAGTTATATTTGGAATCCTCTAATAACCGAGGCTTGTATCGAGCTCTTCAAATTTAATATCCTCGAAATCTATAGAAATATTTATATTTAAAATCCATTAATAACTAACGTTTAATTACTACTAGTTCTCTCAGTAACTGAATGTCATGGAAACCATTAAACAAGCAATATGTTCCACTAATTGTGTATAATAAAAAGACAATTTGGTATACAGTGTAAACAATTTCTGATATCTGTGTTAATAAATCAGTGTTAATTACCATTAAATACGCCCTTTACTTTGTTTATATACACGAACTAAGATAAAACATTGTGAATAATCGTGTTGGAATTCGGCAAACTGCAATCTACAAACCGCGCAGATGTATTCCATGCTAACAAGAGTTATCTCCCCTTCATTGCTTTTACACGCTTAAACCATTGGCGTCAAGCGCATGTTTCGTACCATTTTCACAATGTTTAATTTCGGATTGCTAAAAGTTTTCTTTTACTTTCTTATAGCTAGTTTATAGTGATGTTATCTTACAATGGGTATTGCTGTTAGTAATGGACATAAATAGTCTACCACTACATTCGTTCCCATATAAATTAATAAGTTACCCTTGACAAGGTTGGACAGGCGATTCACGCATCTTGGTATCGAAACCATGCCACTTGACGCCACGCGTTTGACAACTCGACCCCCCGCCCTCCCCTTACCCCTGACATAAAGATTCAAATGTTTTGGGCCTTAAAGTCTTGTAGACAATTTACTTAGGACATTTTGGGACCAACATAGTACCATGCGATGTGGAAGTGCAGTGGCATTTTAAAATTCGTATTCCATGTAATTTGAAAAATAATTAAACATCTTCTTTGTTTTCCAGGTTACGTATATTGAAGAATGAAAATACAGTCTAACAGTGGATTACATTTTCAATTCCAGTGATATTTTGGGATACATCATCAATGACAGTGTGTGTTACCAACATGACAAACTGTTCAGATTGTGGTTTAAAGAAGTTAGTTACAGATATTTTTTCTTAAAAAGAGATATGTTTGGATTATATTGTCTCCCGTGTTACCAATGAGTTCTTGGACACTCCCGGTTGGTGCTCTAGATATACAATTTATGCCTAAGGTGGACCTTGACCCCTTGTTGCTAAGATACTGGGAGAACTTCCCATGCCCGCCACCCTGGAATAATGGACTTCTGCAACAAATGAATTGGACCAGTTGTCATGGTGATGAGGACGTTGGTGCCGTTCTACGTGATATGATGGTTGAGAAGTGTGCTACCTACCTGAATGTCCGAGTGGTTGCTAAGGAAGTAGGCAGGGCCGATTTTTTTCAATCGTGTGGAATCGAGTGTAAAGTGATTATCAGCGCCGCCTGTCTGTTTCTTGGAGTATTGTCTATAATAGTGATATCAGCATTTAGGCATCGGTAGGTATTAATTTGACTAACAAAAAAAAAAGACCATAGCCAAAGCTTGTACGATGATGCCAGGAATCAAACACGGATATTAAACATTATATTCCCGGAGAAAGTAGGCGGGGAGCACGGCTTTATTAGTACAATAAGTTGTAGGGTTAAAGTCCCGTGGCAAAAAAAACCATTCCGCCACTGCTTTGTAATGGAATAAAGAAGCAGTGGGACAATACCGATAAAATCAAGTGAAAATCATGAGCTTTTGGTACTATTTGAGTGATGGGATGTAGTATAATTTGGTAAACATCACAGTCATAATACAATGAATGCATAGGGCTTTCACTTTCCAAAACTCCTTTAACATGCTAAAATTCAGAAACTTTCAACACTATGCCCCGATGCTTTAATTTTCTTTAAAAATGCCAGGGCTGGGTGGGGCGTCAGGTAATAATGTGGGAGAAACTCATTCGTCCACAGCACTCCATATTAGTTTTATTGCGTTCACAATCTGAGATCGGTCTTCGTAATTCAATCGAGTGTAGTTAAGGGGAGATAACCACGTATATCGTGCCTTCTACTTTGATTAAAAGTTTTTTAAGGTGCTGCGGGTGGGCAATCCTTAATGTCAACGGGACCTTTACAACCACTGGCGCTGTAGATTAATACGAGTAGGCTTAATAATTTAAGGACTGCAATTGATAATGGAATGATCGTGATTGGAAATGGCCGTTGTTCATGTTTGTGGAGCATATATTGTTGCTTCCATTCAAAATTTTGAAACTCTGTACTTTGAAATTCCTCGGTGATATATAGACTAATTACCAGTATTAACAACTGTCATGCAGGATGTAGAATGTGCTTACCCCTTTAAAAAAAATAAAACAAACCTTTTTCTCGATCATTTTAAAACTCGATACTCAAAAATGTAATAAAACTATCACTCTATCATGCTGTCATGAATTGCGTGCAACGGTCAAGACTTGTTTACGATTTTGAATGATGGGTTCTTTTTAAAAATGAATCTGTTTCTACAATGTGGACTACATTACCGTAAAACTAATTTCCTATAATGCATTATAGCGAGGTTGTACCTAATGAAATTAAAAACTACGCGCCGATTTTTCAAAATTCTCCCGGAGGAGAACACCGAGCCCCCCTCGCGTCCGCAACGGATTGTCGATATACTCTTCCGTTCAACAATTATTACATAAATCTATTTATAATTTGGAGCTGAAAATTTGTTAAAAATGTAGTATACGATCGCAACGTTTTCTACTTTTAATTTCCATACACATATTTTTAATATGCGACATGTTTTCGGGTTTTTTTTTATTTAAATGTCTCTTAAACTATTGGTACAGTTTTCTTTTGGGCATCGATATTTTATTCACAAAGATTTTACTGTCATTAAGGGCACTTTTCCTAAGCATATTTTAAAGAGATCTTCCGGCTTTTAAGGCCATCAATCTAATATTGAAATAAGCATTTATTATAATCAGAGCCAGAATGGCTGATCTGTTGACCAGTAATCATAGATATTATATTTCATATAGAATCTGTTATAACTGAGATATACAACTAATGAACGGGTGATTCGTCTTCTACCAGGGTTATTATTAATCACGGATCTTTGGTCAACGACAGGTCACTCACTGTCCGGTTGCTAATGAGCCGTCTCTTTGGTATGGTACGGTGCAGCAAATTGATATCAGATTTCATGGTCATCATACAGCCGACATTTTGTCTACTAGTAGTTAATAATGGAAAGAGGAAGGGACTATAAAATGTAACGTTTTATCGTAATGCTTTTTGACAAAGGGATTATCACTTACTGAAGCGGGAGAGAGAGAGAGAGAGAGAGAGAGAGAGAGAGAGAGATATTCACAAACTAGGTAATTTCGGAACACATGTTTAAAGTTTATGTCAATAATTCGCTTGCGCGTGGGGGTCTTTAGCAGTGGAAAGAAATCGGAGGATCCGGAAAAAACCCCACGAGGTTGGATAGGCGACCCAGGCAAGGTTGGAATGGAAACTACATTAACTGACACAATTACAGACCTCATGATATAAAGTGCACGAATGCAGACTACAGTTACATATCCACGAATACATATTGTGGTTACATATGCACCAGTACACGCTGTGATTACATAAGTACGACTACACACATTGTGGTTATATATGCGCGAAAACATATTGTGATTACATATTCACGAATACACACTGTGGTTACACACTCACCATTACACACTGTGGTTACATATACACGAATACTTGTGGTTACATATGCACAAATACCCATTGTGGTTATATATGCACGAATACACACTGTGGTTACATATTCACGAATACACTTTTCTGCACCAACGGGTCTAAGTTGCTATGTCCTTGTTATATATGCAAACAAATAATCGACGACCATTTGAACTTTTGAGATAAAAAATTCAACAATCACCGTTAGGTTAAGCTCACTCTTTGATATTCATTTTCTTTCTAATAGAGTGCAAGAATTTCAGGTACAACTGACAAAATTAGGATAGCGGCAAGTTGAAAGAAACACTTAAAGCGGCGGCTTTCGTTTATCAAACAAAATATGTCGTTGTTGTTCACTTTGAGCATACATTTTAATATGTATGCAGAATGTATTTCTATACCAGCTACTAGATCATCATATTGACCTGTTGGACTCTTGAATTTGAACGGAATGCGCATGTTTTGAATTATGAAATTGCGACAACGACAATCGTAAAGAAAGAAAAGGAAATAGCGTCACGAAGATACAGATGAACTGAAATGGGGTCTAACGTCCTACTTTTCCGCATCAACCGGGATAGTGAAGACAGGGATATGCCATGAAGTGTGAGATGCATACACAACGATGGTTTGCCTACTCTTAGTCGAATTCCAAATGTCAGGGGATCTTTTACATGCACACGAACGTGTACAGGTCCCATCCGAACAATTAGAAGCTCTACCTTATCAGGTCTCACTTCCTTCACCACTGATTAGGGGGATCCACACCAGAAAATCCCAAAAATGAGGCAAAAAGGGTCAATTATTGGAATCGAGTTCAAGTCTTCCCTATTCAAAGAATGGAAAGGAACGGGATTAGAAATCTTGCGATGATAATATATCAGTTTATATATTTGAAGACACTTGCTGTAATTGTGTTTTCGTCTACTCCTTTTCGAAATCCAACTGCCGAGGAACCACAAGTTATTCAAACACGTGTAGAATGATGCACACTTATAAAGAAATAAACAATATGCGTGTTTCTATAAGCTTAGTATGGGGGCTATGCTTTGCCGTAAACGTTTTTCGAGCGTTTGTATGTATAAAACATCCAATACACGTTTGTCAGACCGCATGGTGGAACGTAACGATAACGACAACCATGTGTCATATCAAAATGTCTATATACATGTCTGAAAAAATATTGATTTAAGTACACTTCAAGTATAAAATGTTCTCTGCACCTCCTTTGTTTCGTGTTTTTATGCAGTGACTGGGCTAATATTAAAAACGGGCATACGCAATACAGCGTGCTGGGAAATTATTGGTCGGAGATTGACGGTTCTTTTACGTGCACGCCAATGTGTCCTCTGGTTTCCTCCCACTGCTAAACACCCCTACGCGCAAGCTAATTGTTAAAATAAAATTAAACCATATGTTAGTCCCGAAATGACCTAGTTTGTGTCTAGTGGACGTTAAACCCCATTTCTCTCCTTCTTTCTCTAGTTCGCATCAAATGACAATGAACAGTTATATGCATATTTTTACAGTGTACACAATATCGACTGTAAAATAATCGCATTAATATTAAGAGTTCGTATATCGAATTATAACACCACAATGCACACGTGTTACGCTCTATTCAAAATCTTTGAACATGAATTCCCCGAGTACTACCCTCCTCTTTGAATTGGTTTTATTTTTCCTATGATAAATATATTGAATAGACATATCTTCTTCTCCATAAATATTGTCTTAATGTTCAACATATCACTGATGGTGTCTGAAGAGATTGAAACTTTCGTATCAGAATTCTACCGCACACACTGAGTGCTGAGATCGAAAATAGCCAACATTTTATTGTATGGCTGTGATTAGCGAGCTATTTAAACTTTTTTTTATGCCCTTATATCATTATAAAAGTATAAAATACCGTACGTTAAAGATCTTAAGGAGTAATCCTTTAGCGAAAAGGCAAAATCGAGACAATTTACAGAAAGTGTATTTCCTAAACTATATAGGATTATATCAATAACCTGAAATGAAATGGAGTTTAACGTCCTACTGTTCTGCTCCTAGTAGTATCCGAAGTTGTGGATATTTCAAGCATAATCTGCCTCGCACCGCAACTATAAAATTGTATAAAATTATATAAATAGAGCGGTAGCCCCCCCCCCCCCACACACACACACAGTGTCATTGGGGCAGGACGGAGGGCTGACAAAGTCAGCTGTCTAGTCGTTCGCCTGGGAAGAAAAACCGAGGTCCCCATTACACACTGGCGTGCACGTATCAGATCCCTTGGTATTTGGAATTAGATATAAGAGTAGGCCGTAGCGCCGCTGTCCGGTCAAAATTACCCTCATGGCACACTACATGTATATGGCGTATGCCCGGCTTCATGAGCCCAGTCGGAGCAGAACAGTAGGACGTTTAACCCAATTTCATTTAATTCCAAAAAATCTTTTAAAGAAAATGTTAAGTATCTGTGACATATATTACATTTTGACTCAATAATTTCTTAATGGGGGCCATAAAATGTTCTTGCTTTGGCATGACGATTTGTGAAAGGATTTTATTACTGCACAAGAAGGGATAGTATAGTTAACGATTGGGAAGTTAACATCATCACTTTTATCTCTTAACTGAACATTAATAGATGGTTTTTTTAAACATGAGGAACATGAAGTCATAATGTAGTTTCAGCACATTTCCCTCTTTACCATATTTATCTTTCGTCAAGTGACGTAGGGTCGCTGCCCAACATTCAGTTTCCCCCCACT